TCATCCAGCAACTCTTAGCATAAATGACATAAAGGTGGCCAAACTTCTTGAAATTGATTCCTTGTCCGCTCAGGGAAGACATGATCGACAGATATCTAACCGACATCCAGTGACTGTTAGCATAAACGGCGTAAGTGTGGCTAAACCTTTTGAAATTGATTCCTTGCCCGGTAAATAAGGGAAAGAAGTCAGCGACAGATTTCACTTGACAGTCATCCAGCGTTTATTGGCATCAAACAAAATATAATGCTCGGGACATTGAATATTAGAATATTAAACTACTGTCACCATTTGAAAAATATAAAACAGGAAATGAGTAGGTTACATATCAATATTTTAGTCGTATTTGTAACGAGGTGGCCAAACAATAGATATTTTGTCAGTGATTAACAAATGATTATGAAGGCAGAGAGAAATATAAAAGAGGAGTAGGATTGATACTAGACTATGATATGAAGAATCCGTTTTGAGATGCTGTCAGTTATCTGAAATGTTTGTATTTAAGTAAAGCCTTTCAATATATCCATTACAGTTCTACTCTAAGCTAGACAACGCCAATGCTGAATGCAAATCGCAAGAAATTATATTTGTCATGGGAGACCTGAATGCCAAAATAGGCAACCGGAGGGATGGAGAAATAGTTTGAAAATTCGAACTAGGAACCTGTAATAAACGTAGAGGAAATTGGGTCCAATGGTGTCCAGCAAATGATTTGGTAGTCGCTAACACCTGATTTCGTGAACACCTAAGACAAATATGAACAGTAAGTTTTCCAGGAAGATAAACAAAATGGCAAATCGACTGCATAAGTATCAACAAGAGATTCGGGAATGCAGTTGTACACTGAAAAACATATCATCCAAGTGCCGACTGTGGAAGCGATCACCCCCCCCCCAGTGAAAATACGGAAACTGAAGAGGCCTAAGGCAGCACCAAAATTTTAATACGACAAACTCTTAAATCGACCCGAATCTGAAGAAAAAAATGCACAGTATGAAATGCAGATACGAGGGACAACATAAACATGGAAAGTCGAAGCAGAAGACATTGAGAGAAGATTTAGTGACATCAGCAATCGACATCATGCCAAAGGAAAATAAACGAAAAAAATGAATGGATAACAGATGAGATTTTCAACATGATAATAAAGAAACAAAAAACAATGGCAAGAGACGATAACAGAATATATGACACTACACAAAGAAATATGGAACGAACGCGGGCTCAACGAAAAAAATGTCTAAATACAAATGATGAGGACCACAGATGAAGCAGAAATACATAAAAAAAATAAGAGACGTAAAACGTAAAAGGAGAAAATAGAAATCGGGATTAAGAGGATATGGCGGACAGATAACGATTTGTCCTAGATATTGGAAATAATAATAAAATAATTTAAGAAAACGATTCCGAGTCAATTTATTCATTCTTCATGTTTTTTTTCTTTTTTTGTGTGTGTTTTTTTTTAAGCAACGCGTACCAAAATACAAAGATGAGGATAGTAAAAAAATAAATTACACCAATCTTTTAAGTAGAATTGTCTTAATGCGAAAATCAGTTTTCAAAAATCCTGATTTGTATCGAGACAAACTTCGATGTAACATGATATAATGAATAGGCATACACCTGGGTTCCCCCTCACAGTAATATGATTGGCTGGTGTCAGCCATAAATACAGACTGATGTGGAGGTACAGAGACGACGCCTATTGGCTACGTCTATTCCCTGTGCCTATTGCCTACCACTACGACGAGGACCAGTCCATTACGGTTACCTGCTAGATTGTTCTACCCGGTTACAGTAGTCAACAACCACTTTGCCACTTCGAACAAACATATCCTTTTCCAAACACATTTCAGCCGGACCGCGTGCACGCTTAATTAGAACCCTAATTAAAACTCATATGCTACAAACACCTGTAACTGTTATCTACATGACTCGAGTTATGCTCTTAAATAAACTCATCAGATCAAGACTTTATATGAATGCCATGCATGGCGCCGGAAATTCCCGTCATCAGCAGTTAATATGCTAATTTAGAAATGACTCCCCACCCCAATGTTCTCTTCCTTTGGACAACTAGAAGAAAACAGCGACATACCTCGTCAAACCAAACGACAGCGCGTCGCGTGTATCCTACGACGGAAAATGTGTCGAAAAAGAAAATTACTTACCCCAAAAAAGGGCACGTAGTTATTTATTTTATATAAAATACAATTCTGGCACAAGGCCGAAAAAAGGGGTGGGGGCTTGAGGCTGGTCTTCACTAATTATCTTATACCTAGCTAATTTGATTCACGACCCATTCACTCATTACAATTTGCACATTCACCACAAAAACTCGTCCGTCACCAACCAATCCTCCATACACCATAATCCCCGCAAGGGGGTGGGGGCTACAAAACGCGCCCCAAACCATAAAAATTTAATGATAATAATAATATATAAAAATCTATGATGAAAAATGAGAGGGCAGGGAGATGAACCCAATAATAAACTAAATACGAACACAAAATAAACATAACTGGTGTTAGTAGGGCCCGTCCAACCCTCGAAACAGAGAGGCCGCTGTATTCTGCACATTGGACAAAATCAAAAAGCTCTCTCACTAACGAAGTGGGAAAAGTCAAATTACAGACGGACAAGGGGAATAAAAAGCTGACCCAGACGAGATGAAAAGAGGACCAAAACAAATTAGGGAGATTGGGAATCTCGACTTGGATTATAACCAAAGTGGTAGCCGGGAACAGGCCAGGAACAACACTTATTGACATTAACTAGGTACACAAAGACTTGTCTAACCTAACCAAGGGGAGGGTTCCACAGGAAACCACCCCGATGTGACGTAGGTTGACCTAAAATAAAATCAAGGCTAGCTCTGTTCAAATGAACCAAGTTCGCCTCAGTCACCCACCTTTCGCTGAAGACTGTCAAAGGCAAGCGCTTTCTATCAGTTGTAATCTTCATCTTGAGCTGATGCTCAAAGAATCGGATCAGATCCTGATGAGAAAGACGATTGCCTCGCAAGACTTCCTCCATCCGCGTCGTTCAAATCACCATTCGGGCCGTGGCTAGCAGCGTCAGAAACACCATTCGTTTCAGCCCAGAATACGGGGGCGATACATTGTCACACTTGTATGCGCAATCCATGAGCACGAGCTTTTCGGGAGCGAGACGAGCTGTCAATAGCCGATATGGTCCCATAAGAGGCGGACCCGGGGACAATGGTAGAAGGCATGCGAAGCCGTTTCCTCTAGACCAAGGCCACACCGTTCACAGTCTGGCAAATCCGCCAAGCCCCATATGAAGCCAATCGCCAGGTAAGCAAAAACCCAAGACCAGAAAGAGCGAAACTCCTCCTCCGACAAATCGAGCCACTCACGTAGAGGATCCTTCACGACCCCCTCACATATTATGCCCATGATTTGTCAGTAGAGCCACATTTCTGTCGATTTACGTCTCTTGTTCATCTGTGATTGATTGAGTTGTTCTTTTACGGCTTATCAACCCAACCTCTTGCATTTAAAGCTATTTAAAGCCAGAATTTTTTTTTTACATTGTAAGAATGTTTTTGATATAATTATGATTTACTGATACAAGTCCTACTAATTAATCCATAGCTGGGGGAGAAGAGATGGTGCATACGTTTCCCAATGGTATTTGTGTGTAAGTGAATATAACGAACCCGACTGGAATTGGAACTCCACTCTCCAATTTCCAATTTCGAGTCGTTATTCATTACAACACCCGCATATCCAAGATTACAACATCTGTTGTTCATCTGTGAGGAGATTATCCAATATTCACTGACATATAGGTGATTAGATATTGCATAGGAGTTTAGTACTCTTTGTTTTGTTTCCAACAAATTTTTCCTATCTTAATACTTTTGTTTAGTTTCTGGAAGACATCTTTCACATCGAAACTTTCATATCGATGCCATACATGACGCCGAACCCGTTAAGAAATATCTAAACTCTCAACTGTATACAACCTCTTTCTCGGGTCAATGTTTAAACATGGCTTCGGACGAATGAAGCCTGTAACTCTTAGAGATGACCATCTTTCTTCGAGCCTCGTAAATTGGCGCTACATAATCACAAACAAAGAACTTTGTCAAATAACAGAAACGTTATCACTTGGGAACTTTTAACAGCAGCAACATCTAATATGTAACTCGAAGAGAAAATAATTATTTAGTCAAAATGTTGATATTCCACACAACTTCAAATAAAATGTTAAAAAGGAAACTGCCATCAATACAGGAAAGAGCGATAACAGTTCCCGGGCTTGAGACACGTAATTTTTTAAAAAATTGTTTTACTAGAAAGATTTTACAAATTTCAACCAATGCTTGAACTCGTTACTCGGTCACTGAATGTCGAATGCGTCCTTATAAGGAAACAGCTAATGTGACCGTTGGCCATTAAGGCAAATTCTCAATCCCGTAATCCGGTTTGAGTTAATTGCTAGAAAAACCGAGAGTGAAAAAAACTGGGGAAACGTAAAAGGACAAAAAAAAACGAACAGGATTCAAGAAGACAGAAGATGATGACAGACGTCGCATTTAAATTTTTAAAGATCGTAGTTGACGCATAAGTAAGGAGAGGTTAAAGGCTACAAATATGGAGCGCTCAATAAAGATCAAGATTACTAATAATGGTCAACGAGATGAGCTCGTTAATCATTACCCCATCGCGAGGTACCCATGCATGCGCAATAATGAAAAAAATATATTCTCTACATTAGAATCCAGTTTCCCAACGTGAAGTGTCTTTATTTAGTGGTGAACGACGATCTGACATGGGTGGGCTGAAACTATCGACCGGATAGACGATGACCAGCCAGTGCATTTCAGTGGGAAACCAGGTCAGTGAGAATTAGAGTCAAAATCATCTGGAGACGGAAAAAATCATTGAGTCAATAAGATAATAAAAATTGGATTTATAAAGAAAAATAGAATGAAAGGCAGAAACGCAAAGGAAGCAATGAATTGTTAC